ATATTCTTACACCTGATGAGGGAGCACATTACGATAAGGTCCATTGCCTTTTCAGGTAACATATAAGCTGTAGCATGCTCAGCTTTCCATTTTAGGTCATTGAGTTAAATTTGGACCAACTTATCCCACATATAAATGGCCCCTTCACTCCCGATCTTGCGTCGCCAATTGACAAAATTGGTGAAAATGCAAAGAAAAACGGATGGCCACTGGAAGTAAAGGTCGCCTTGATCGGATCTTGCACAAATTCTTCCTATGAGGACATGACTCGTGCTGCATCCATTGCTAAGCAGGTGTGATTTTTTATTTTTATATACATTTTCCCATATTCTGAAACAGTTTTTCCTTAATGTGCATTCCATCTTGATTGACATTTTTTTTGTGCGTCAGATGTTATTTCAACATTCTGAATGTAGGCAATCGATCATGGAATGAAGGCTAAGTCGTACTTCCTTGTTACACCTGGATCGGAGCAAGTCCGAGCGACAATCGAGAGAGATGGCCTGACAAAGATCTTCGAAGATTTTGGAGGAGATGTGCTTGCTAATGCTTGTGGACCCTGCATTGGTACGTGAATCGGAATCTCTTGACGAGTCTAGAATAAACAAATTCCTTCTCTATTTTAGGACAGTGGGATCGCCAGGATATTAAGAAGGGCGAAAAGAATACCATCGTTACCTCATATAATCGAAACTTCACGGGTAGAAATGATGCTAATCCTGCCACTCACGGATTTGTTACCTCACCTGATATCACTGTCGCTATGGCACTTGCTGGAACACTTGACTTCGATCCTCGAAAGGACGAACTGACCGCTCCAGATGGTTAGTCATTAGTTTGCTTTTGGGAAAGGATAGCTTCGTTTCTTGGGGAAAATTTTACCCTTTTGGTTACACAAAGATTTTATGTTTTAGGCAGCAAATTCAAGCTGAAGCCGCCAAGTGGTGTAGCTTTGCCACCTAAGGGCTATGACCCAGGAGAGGACACCTACCAAGCGCCTTCTGGAACGGGAGAAGTGCGTTTT